TTTGGCTTGAATTCTACTTTATTTGATATGAGGATGGAAACTCCTGCTTGCTTTCACAGTCCCTGGGAATGGTATGTTTTTTCCCAACCTTTCACCTTCAGTCTGTGGATGTCTTTTCCTATGAGATGATTCTCTTGGAGGCAGCATATTGTTGGGTCTTTTTTTTTTTAAATCCAATTTGCCAGTCTATGTCTTTTGATTGGTGAGTTTAGGCCATTCACATTTAGGATTATTATTGAGACATGATTTGTATTCCCAGACATTTTTGTTTATTTTTGGTATTTAACTTGACTTGGTTTCTTCTTTGATTGGTTTTTTCCTTTAGGGTAATACCTCCCTTCACTGATTCTCATCAACAATTTTTTTCATTTTCTCCTTGTGGAATATTTTGCCAAGGATGTTCTGTAGTATAGGCTTCTAGTTGTAAATTCTTTTAACTTTTGTTTATCATGGAAAGTTTTTATTTCATCATCAAATATGAAGCTTAATTTGCTGGATATAAGATTCTTGGTTGGCATCCATTTTCTTCCAGAGCTTGGTATATGTTGTTCCAGGATCTTCTAGCTTTCAGGGTCTGGGTTGAAAAAATCTGCAGGTATCCTAATTGGTTTCCCCCTACATGTAATCTGATTCCTTTCTCTTATGGCTTTTAAAATTCTATCCTTATTCTGTATATTAGGCATATCCATTATAATGTGCTTTGGTGTGGATCTGTTGTGATTATGCATATTTAATGTCCTATAAGCCTCTTGTATTTGATTTTTCAATTCATTCTTCATGTTTGGAAAATTTTCTGATATTATTTCATTGAATAGATTGTTCATCCTTTGGTTTGTAACTCTATGCCTTCCTCTATACCAATAATTCCTAAATTTGGTCTTTTTATGTTATCTCATCATTCTTGAATGTTCTGCTCATGGTTTCTTACCATCTTCACTGTGTGGTGAACATTCTTTTCAAGATTATATATTTTGTCTTCATTGTCCAAGGTCCTGTCTTCCAAGCAATCTAATTTGTTGGTGGTGCTTTCTATTGAGTTTTTAGTTTGGTTTATTATTTCTTTCATCTCAAGGATTTCTGTTTGTTTATTTGTTTGTTTTTTCAGAACCTCTATCTCCTTACTGAAGTAATCTTTTGCTTCCTGTATTTGCTTATGTAGCTCTTCATCGAATGATCTTTTGCTGACTGTGTTTGCTCTCTTATACCATCTTTAATTCATAGAACATTTTAATTATGTACATCCTGAACTCCTTCTCTGTAATTTCTTCTGTTATTTTGGCCATGGTTTCTAATAATGTAGTATCTTGATTTGTTTGGGGCATTTTCTTTCCTTGTTTTTTTATGTTGTTAGTGTATCTTCCCTTCTAGCACTGCAGATCCGAGGTGTTATGGTTTTTACTCTACAGGCTATAGGGTCCCTGCAGGGTTCCAATACCTCTCCTTTAAGGGGTAGAACAATATTAACAGATCCCAATACAAACAATATATAGCCTTAAACCAAATAGTTGCGATTAAGAAGACATTTACAGTTTTGTCACAATATACAGAAATGGTGAATTCAATTATTATCTACAATATAAACAGTAGGTTTTTAAAGGGGTCTACAATATCTTATGGTGGACAAAGAACAGGGAGTAAGGTGTAGGATGGGATGTTGAGGGGTTAGGAAGTGACTATATAGAGTTATTAGATCTTAGGAAGTATGAAAGAATCTAAAGTTGATTAATAGCAGGAGAAGAGAAAGAAAGTGATTTCAGAGAGACAAGTAAGTGGAAAGACAATAGAAAGAGTACAAAAAACAAACAAACAGGGGCTGGGGTTGTGGCTCAAATGTAGAGCACTTGCCTTGTATGTGTGAGGCACTGGGTTCAATCCTCAGTACCACATAAAAATAAAATAAAGATATTGTGTCCACCTACAACTAAAAAAAAAGTTTAAAAAATATCAAAAACTAAACATAAATATTAAGAAAAATAAAAATATAAAAATAGGAGGTAAAAGAATATATAACACAGTTGTGATATACTATTCAGACATCCCAGTCCTTAATAGCCTAATTCATGAAAAGTACTTGGTTTCACAAATGTTGTGTATGTGAAGGCAGGAGAAGAGAGGGAGAGAAAAGACCAAAAAAAAAAAAAAATCTTAAAGGAAGATACAAGGATTGTTTTTATTGGAGATCAGTATCTTTCCTGCTTCCCTTCTCATCCAATAGGTGGGGTTGTCAGTTGTTTGCTGGTATCTCCACCCTCAGGATGATGAAGGTTATTAGGGTGCAAGGGTTCTGGTCTTCGAGGCAGGACTCCTGGAGGTGGGGTATAGCACTTGCTGTTCCCCAATGGAGACTGCACCCCAAAGATCTCCTTTGGGGCCTGCTTGTGTGATGTGGGTGCCTGGTCTTACTGGTCTCTAATTTAGTCTGTAAGCTGTATCTCACTCATCCCCTTCCTCCCTACTTCCCAGTCAAAAACCTCTCTCTCCGGAGGTCTTGTGGGCTGTACTCTGATAGCTGCGCATTGAGAGCTGTTTTGTATTGGGCAGTTCAGGACCAAGTTTTGGGTTAGTAGCTGCCAGGGAGGCGAAAAGTTGGGGACTCTAGGTCCCTTGATATTGCTTCTAAGCACCAGCCAGTGTCCCAAGCTGGGATTTTCCCTAAATAAAGATGGCAACAAAGGTGTCCCAAGATGGAGGAAGCTGCTTTCAGTGATGGGGTGTTGGGTCAGGTAGGGCTGGGTGGTGGCATTGGGGCGTATTCAGAGATGCAGCCCTGTGGCGTGCAGTTTTACAGCTGGTGGCTGTCTCCAGACCCTGTGCAGTGTCCCCAGGTGCAGGCTACTGCGTGAAGGGAACTATGGCAGTGGTTGCAGTGTTGGAGGCAACCAGGGGAGCCCCATGTAGGTAGATGGGAGTCCAGATGGGAGTGGCTGCCGGAGGTTCTGCTCGTGGGCGGCATCCTGTKTGGGTGCTGATGCCAGTGGTCCTGCTTGGGCACCTGGAGATCCGTGTGGGTGAGTGACCAGACGTGTGCTGATGCTGAGGCTTGGGAATCTGCATGGGACAGCAGTCTTGATTTCCTGTGAGGGAGCAGCTATTGGGGGGCCTCTAATAACTCACAGAGAAACAGTATCCCACTACTTAAATCCCTGGTCACAGAGCGACACAGAATGCAGCTTTTTCCCTCTAGCCCGCCATCTTGGATCCTCCTGTTTTGATTATTTGTGTTGTTTTGTTTTTTATAGGATTAGTGATGGTGAAGTGATCATGGTGGGAAAGAGTTTGACATGTACAAATTGAGGACAGATTTGATCTGCCTCTGTTTCAAGGGCATTGAGATCTTTTAACCCACTTTCAACAGAATCTGCTGCCATTCTTTTTTCAAAGGCCCAGTTTCACTTGAGGTTTCAGCTAGCTGTTTCCATGTAGAAAACTGTCTGGTTCAGTTATATTCTACAGTGGTTGATGTGACTTCATGGACCTTCTTCCTATCAGGAAGCAATCTGACAGCACAAAGGATAATCCCAAAGCCACAGGACTTGGGACAATTTCATTGATTTTTGAAACATCATTCCCAAAACACATTCAGGGTAAAATCTGATAAGGTATAGGCCAAGCATTCACTTTTCCCTCAGAACTACCTCGAGTGGCAATAAAGCAAAATGCTTACCCAGAAAGTTCTGCTTTGCCAGTGCCAGGCACTTTCCATTCATATAACAGCTTCACAAAGTCACCAAGAGCTTCTAAGCTAAATGCATGTGCTACTTCATTGCTTTGAAATTAGTAGCATTCTAGTCTGTGGGGTAGTTTTCCCAGTGAAGCATCAGAATATATTTGTTTATTTTCCATCGTTCTCCTAGGAATAATCATGTTTGTCATGTACCTTTAAATGTAAAACATTTGAGTTAATAAAATCAAATTGCATTTCAGCAAGACATTTTTTTTGTAATTGTTCCTCTTTCCATTATTACTTTTAAAACTCCAAACAACATAAATGAAGTTCACTTAAGTTGATCAGCTAATTCAAAATCATAAGCTGTTAGGCACTTATAAAATGTAATTATGTATTTAGAAGTATTGATATTGGATTGGATTTTATAGAAATGATGTTTTTAGATTTTATTGCCCAGAGAAAAAAAAGTCCCTTCATGATTTGCTTAAAATTAAGCCTGCAGTTTTGCAAAATCTATACAACATTTTGACCAATAATGAACCACATGTATGATGGTTGTTCCATGAGATTATATTGCCTGATGATGTTGCAGCCATCTTAGTTGGTGTTAGTACCTGCTACGATGTGCATACAACGATGAAAATGTCTAACCATACATTCCTCCAAACGTACCCATTTCATTAAGCAGCACATTAGTGTACATCTGATAGAAACTTTCTACTTTAGCAGTGGAAAGATTATAGTGTGTCCTGCCATCACATTGGGTATAGCAATGTCATTTAAATAAGGATTTGTGTGTGTGTTGCTGGGCCAGTCAAGTTTTTTCAGACCAACCCAGGGCTTCACACATGCTACGAAGCACTCTATCACTGAGCTACAACCCCAGCAGGTATTAATTTTTTTAATTCTACAGATTTTTCTAAACCCAGACACCTATAAGTTTCAATGATACTTTCATTTCAGTAAATTATGTACAAGTGAACTTTTTTTTTTTTCCAAAAAAGAACAGTCTGGACTCTTTTCCCCAAGAACTCCCTTTCACTGCATGCATTACTGTTGTCCCTTTTTGGATCATGAGTGTGAATTCTTTCATGGCTCTTGATCATATCCAAGATAACCTGAGCTTGCTTTCTGTTCTTAATAATAATTATATGGAATATAATTATTCCATATTATTCCATGTGGCACCAATCTGGTAAATTGTAGAACAACTGCATGTATTAAATATGGAATATAATTATTATTATTGTTTCTCCTTAGTAGAAAAATGACTGGACCAATCCCCCAAAGACTAGCCTCTTCTTCCTCTGATTCACATATTCTTCTGTTGCAGATTGGATTTGAGGCCTCTCCCCTCCAGGGACAGGCTGCAGCTTCAGAGAGTGGGAGTGGAGCTGATTCTGAGCCAGCTCGCCATGTCTTCTCCTTCTCCTGGTTGAACTCCCTGAATGAATGATGTTCATTCCAACTGCTGCACTTCTGTCTGCCTGAATGAGATGCACACAGGCAGCAGGGAACCTAGATGAAATTAACATGATACAGATGATGAATGGGACCTCTCGACAGGATTTTTAAAAGAAAGAAAAAAAAACCACTTTAATTCCAGATGACTTATCTAACACATTGAAGAAAAAAATACTTTCAGAAAATAGATGCAGAAAGCACTGGAGAAAAGAAACTTGATCTTATGCAAGTCTTTTATTGTGTGGGAAACATGAGGGGTGTGTAGGTGTGGTACATGTGGGTGCGTCAGTTACAAGTAGCAAGTGTTGAAAAATGTGGGCACTACACTCTCGTCTCTAATAGGCACCAGCTTTTTGTTATTAGATCATAGTGGCTCTTATTTCCTTTTCTCTTTAACAATGCAGGTGGTCAGTGAAATTCAGTGTCAATTCAGAAATGCCTGATTTATCAATATACAGACAAATGGTAAATCATTGACCAAAGCTATGAAAATGTTGTGCAAAGTTTTCCTCTTTTCCATAATAAATGTCACTGGATGTGTATCCAGAAATGTTCTTTGAATTTGATGGCACTTTTATAGTCCAGAGGGCTGAAGGCCAAGGACATCTCTTGTGACATCTTTCTAATCTTAGTTTTAGACACTTATATACTAGGTACTTTAATTGAAAAAGACTTTCTAGCAGAAACCAGTTTCTCATACATCTCTGTGGTACCAATCTGGTAAATTGTAGAACAACTGCATGTATAAATATATATGTGTGTGTCTGTGTATATACATATATATCATGCTTTATTTGTCCCACCATAATACTTCTTTCAGAACATAAGTGTAACTTTACTCTGTATGAACTGTTAAATAAATACTGTTTTTAAAAATTTAGTCTTATAATAATTTATTCAGAATTTCATATCATCTTATTAATCTATTAGTCAAGTGCATTTCAAGGGCCTTAGGGGGAAAAAGCATTTTCATACATATTTTGAAGTATTTAATAATTTGATTGAAAATGTTAAGTTATAACTAAACTACTGAAGGCAAATGCATTTTAAAACTAGTTAGCTATGCTGTTGAGTTTTAGAAGTGAGTAAAAATAGTTCATATTCCTAAGAATCAAAGTGATTAGCTTGGAGGGTATTTGTGCATAATTAAAGCCAAATGTTCTTTGTAAGAAAATATTTCCCCAAGTGTCATTTTACAGCAACTGAACATAGTTGTTTTAAATGGAGATGCTATCAGGTTTCTCCTATTAGAAGTAGTCATTGGAAAACAGCTCAGAAAAAAAAAAAAACAACATTTTATGATACCAATTGATAAAGTAAGCCTTTGTCATGGAAAAACAATGCAGCATTTTGACTGTATGGTTCACCTCAGCTCTTCTCTTTATCCTTTCCTACTCTCCCCAATTACTTCATATCTCATTATTCATCAAGGAATGCTTTTTCCACTGTGAGTGATCCTCCATTTGTAAAATAACCAAGTTTTAGAGCTAAAAGCAGTTTTCCAAATTATCTAGTTCAATCTCAGATGAGTAGTCTGAGGTACAGAGATAAGGTGATTATAGGACCTGTGCAGCCACTGACAGATGTTTGTATCTTTGGTAGAAAAAAAAATGCAGGAAGTTTGGAGGATTTTTGACTGTTTGTTTATTGTGCAGAAGACAGTTTGGAGGAAGCTAGAAGAGGAAAAATAAAAGCACAATAACCATTGCAGCTTTTATTAAAAATATAAATATTAAACATTCTCTTACACAATCAAATTGACCGAGGATTGGAAGGATGTTTTATTACTGAGATGTTTACAAGAAAATATTGATTCACATTTCACCTTACCCACCCACTCAAGAGAACAAAATTCTCTTTGGCTCTGACCACTACAAAAGCAACGGGGTGGCTTCCATCTGCTTTTTCAAAGTGCTTCCTCCTGGGTCTACATTTTCTTTGAAACACCACTATAAAGACACTGGACACGGAAACTAAAAGTGGACAATACAAATAACATTGCGTTGTTACTGCACGTGAATACACTTTGTGCATGCTAATTAAGGGATATAGGCTCTGTCCCTGTACATCTATGTTGCAAGCTATATAAAAATAAACAAATGATATCAGAGCAGCACTGTGGTACAGAATACTGTATTCTTAATTTTTTTTAACTTTTTTGTGCTAAATGCAGAATATTTTTGGTCAGTCGTATCATTTCATTTCCCAATAATCTCCATCAGTTTCCTGTTGCTGTGAGCTTGCTGCGCTAACTGCTCGGCCCTGGCCATTTCCAAGACTTCCCGGAGAAGGTGAAAGGTGAGATCCAGGGAGATAGGAGGCTCCTCGGACCGCCGCTCCCTCTCCAGTGCCTCCTGGTGGCGGGTGAGGGCGTTCTCCCAGCTGCGCTCCGCCGGACCCGCGGGGCTGTCAAGAGAGCGCCCAGGCAGCTGCAGCTGCTGCAGCAACACGCGGAAAAAGTTGGTGGCTGCCTGGTCCCGCAAGGGGCGGCTGCCACTGTCACCGGCAAGGGACAAGGAGTCGGGCAAGAGCCGAGCAGCCGGGCTCTTGTTGAGGTTTCCCAGGCGAAGGAAGTATTCCTCTCCCATGCGGAGCAGAACTGGCCGAGGCTGCGGCTGCTGGGGCTGCTCTGGCTGCGGCGGGGGCTGGAAGAAATCCAGGGACTGGGGGGATTGCGCTGCTTGCCGGGCTCCTGGGACCTGCCCACGATTTAGGAGGGCCCTGCATGGTGGGCAGGGCAGGAGGGCCACCAGCAGGACGCCCGCAGACAAGAGCAGCGGCAGCCGCATGTTAGGGACGCTCGCTGCAGAAGAGAAGTGGGCGGAAGGAGAGAAAGAAAGAGAGATAAAGTGTTGGTCAGAATTTAGCTCAACTGAGCGGTGCCCTTGGGGGGATGTCTTCCTACCCGAAACGAGGAGAAGTGAGAGGCTATGCCCTTGGAGTGGGGGTGGGGGTCGTCGTGCGCTGTCCGTGGTGCTTAAGACACTGATCTTGGACTTCTGCAGTAGGGATGATAGCGGGAGCACGAAATGGGACGTTTGAGAGGCTCCGCGCCCAAACTCATCCCCTCTCCAGGAAGGAGTGACCTTGCTCTTGAGACCCTGAAGAAACAATCCCCGAGTCTTCTTCCTAACGATCCCCCAAACCTGATTCCCCTGAGCCTAGGTAAAGAGCCATAATTTAAATTTTCGCTCGCTCTGATCACCCCCTTCCGGATAGTTCAGCATTTTCTTCCAAATTTAAGAGCTACTCCCTCTTCCTATCTCTCCACACTTGCCCTTGCTTCCTTTTCTTGGGGGTCGGGATCAATGTGGGGCCAGTGGGGTCCTTTATACAGACAGCGATGAGCAGTAACCGGCAGTTAGGGTAAAGATGAGCAGCCGTCTAAGTTTGTTTTTGCTGTACACAGCTACTATCGGAATCTTACGGCACAGTCAGCAGCAGCAGCAGCAGCAGCAGCAGCAGCAACAACAACAACAACAGCAACACACACACACACACACACACACATTCGCCCGCACAGGGACACCTGGCTCTGCAGTGCACACCTCGGAGGCTCAGGCAGCACAAAGTTGGTGGCGCGTTTCCGTCTAGGCGCTCCCTACCTTTCCTGGAGTTCGCAGGTGAGCCCGGCGCTGCTGCCTCTCTGCAGAGGGACGTCTCAGGGCTTTTTCTGGCGGTTTTCTTCTCTTCTCCTTTCTATTGCTACTCTCTTTTTTTTTCTTTGTCTCTTCTCTTTCTCTTCAATGTACTTGGGCTCTGAGTTTTCTCCACACAAGAGCTTGGAGTGGGATTTTATAGCGTCGACCCTCTTCAGAAAGCACGCAGCATTTGCCTAATAAGCTGACGCTCTCTTGACAGCTCGATTGCGTGCTGCCTCTGCTCCTGCATAAATCATAGGGCCCTGCCAAGGAGCGAGGGACAGAGTTTTGCTATTTCAACACTGAATCTCACATCCAATTATATCAACAGATATTTATCGCCTCCTTGGTGACGTCAATGAGCCCTAAAATGGAAGGGATTCTGATGACTTGTCCATTGACAAAAAATCTTGAATGAGWTTTCCCAAGTGTGGAAAACAAACTGACCTCTTACTATGGAAGGCCAAATTGTAGGTCAGAAAAGCGAYGAAGATTGGGAAGGGGGAAAAGAGGAAGTGGGAAGGAAGGGAGGTCTACCAATGCAGTCCTGCCAGGAAAGTAACTACCAGTTACAAGGGGTGGCTCTCTATCTTTCTGGTCCTTCTCCTTCCTAACTTCTATGACCACTTGTCTCAGGCAACATCTTGGTATCTGAAAATGTCTCTTTGCTAGAGACAAAGAGTCCCACCTTCTTTCTACCTGGAGAAGAATGAAGAACCAGGAGAAGACTGAAGGAACATTCAGATTTTAAGTTTCTATCTGCTTTTTCCTCCCAAGAGCAGATAAAGGAACTATGAGTCTGCAGAGACAAGACCAGTAAGTCTCTTGAAATACAGTTTTAAGATTTTTTTTTAAATGATGACAAGAGCTACTCCAATGATGAAGGGACTGCTGAGTTACAGCAAAGATTTTGGGTTCTCACAGAATCTCACTGCTCCTTCTTTGTTTTCCCTTTCACAGTCTAAAATTAACTATGGACTTTTCTCTTCTCAAATTGAAGCAAAAGAGGACCAGTGAGAGGTGCATGAGTTAAACAATCTTTTTTTAGTCTACTCAATGCAAACCTAATGAGAAAGGCATCCACTAACTTCCTACCCTGTGTTGGAAAAAGCTTAAATTGCTAAACAACAGAGCTAAAAATCAGTTGCATTTTTTTTCATTGATGAATACTGACTCTGTACAGAAATAATCTTATTCATTTCACCTCTAAATACTACCAGTATTCATGATAGTATACATATCAGGGATACCTAGGTTGTCATTTTTTATCATTCCTTTTTTTTCCAAATTCAACTGTGTTCCTGTGAACCTCACAGATAAATGCTTTCTGACACTACTACAGAATGAAATGCTGTGCCTATAAAACCACACTCAAATTTTGAGTTATATGCTATCATATAAGTGGGAGGCAGTTACCTCTAATTCTGCAATTCAAAATGCAATTGCAAACACTAGTGGCTGTGATTCAATTCAGCTTTCAGAAAGCCACCAGAGTTGTTTATCAAAAATTTCCTGTTCCTCATTTCTGGTTACCTCTGCTGCTTCCTTAGTAGCTAATGTGACAAATGATGCAACACATTTTCAGCTCCTATTTTGGGCCTATACTAATCCACAAATGCTCTGAGAAACAAAAGGAAAGTAGGGAGAGAAATACCTACAGTTTCCTGATAACTAGCTCATAGCTGGATTATTGTACTCAAGAATGTACTTCTGACATAAAAGATCAGAGAAAGAAATGTGTCTACTAGGAAATATGTGGGTTGCTAATAGGGGATCATGATTAGGAAAACAGTTGAGCTTCTGGAGGAAGACAGTGTTTCATACAGAACCTTAGTTTTTGTAATTGTGTGCTTTTTAAAAGTAGAAGTGGACCTCAATATTTTTGCTATGTTCCTTTGTGATTTCTTCTCTGTCCCCATTGGCAGACTGCAGCTTGGATGTCCATGGGGGGGGGGGTGTGTGAAAAGTAGACTTGGAAGGGGGAAGTCAGAGGTAAACAGATATAGAAGAGGAACTAAGTAAGGGATCAGAATACGAGTTTTGTTGGGGAGGTCTGGCACATTCCTCCAAAGAAGACATAACAATTTCTGAGCTCTGGCTCTCTCTATACCCCTTTAGATCTCTCTCCAATTGAGTAATACCATTTTAGTGTAGCTCCCTAGTCACTGTTGAGACCTTGCTGTATGGTTTTCTATGAAGATAAATTGGGAAGCACCACAATTTATTCAAAAGTCAAATTTTCTCACATGACTTGAAGAGATCCCCTGGCTTAAATGAGAACTTAAAGAGGTTAAGTGGCTTACCTACAGTCCCCCAGCCAGTTACTGGTAAAGTCAGAATTAAAATCCAGTTCTACTGACTACCAGTCCATATTACTTACATAATAAAACAATACCCTTTGGACTTCCTTTTTCAACAAAGGCACATGAACAAGTTGAGATGAGAAGAATAATTTAGATAAAGCAGTATATTCACACACCAATCCTTGGGAGACCTTTTCTCAGACTTTCCTTTATATTGGTAAATCTCTGCATGAGAATGCAGTAATCCCTCCAGCATGCTGATGTCCCTGACAGTTGATTTTAAACCTCTGTATGCATACATTAAAATTCAGTCTTCAGCTGAATCTTGTAATTATGACATGAGGTTTTTAGGTACACTGCCAATTTTAAAAAGCATTCATTTTATTTTTCCACCTTAGATGAGCTTTGGAAAAAAGTGATATTTTAATAAAATATAAGATGGTGAATTCCCAAAATTATGATAATGGATATGTGATTGGAGAAATAGCATAACAGAGAACTTGTATGTACTGTAAACTACATATCCAAGTCCATAAAAATCACCACTGGCAGATTTCATCTTATATATAGGAATACTTTCCTGAAAGGAGTTACTGGAGAACCCATTTAAGTTTTTGGAATCTAGAAACACAATATAAGAAACATGGGCACAAAATCAAGAATTACTTGCTGTTTAAAATAATATTTTTTAAATAACAGCATAATTTAAGACAGCTGGATAACACAGGATATATAGTTCAATTAAAGAAAATGGCAGAAATAATAGATAACTATTTGGCATATTCACCTGAAATCTCCTTGTACTATTAGCAAAACTCAAGGCAAACAAGCACAGTCTCCAAGTTTGCTAACTGAAACATTCATGGACATTAGTCTTCTATCTCCAGTGACAGAATTCAAAATGCTTTGCATGAACAGGTGGTCCAGTAATTGTCTGTAACTATGTTTTAGATAGATCAGCAACTGAATTCTGCTTCCACAAGAGAGCTGGGAAAAGGCTTTCAAATAGCAGCAATATCTTACTGCTTTCCCAGTAACAATACTGTCACTTTTATTAGTCTCTTCTCCTCCTTACAGAAAACTTAAAATAGTTATAAGGTATAAAGAATACAAAGTTTCTCAGAAAAACCACAATCTAAGTAAAATCACATTTAATATTGTGTTGTTTCCCTTGAGTATTTTTCTTGAGCTCATATACTTTATGTAATTAAGGTAATGCTGAGTTCTTAATTGTGAGTAACTGTTTAACAACAACCACAAACCCTCTGATTTAAAAACTTAAAAATAGAAAGGGAGTAGATTTTAAATGTTCTCATCACAGAAAAATGTATATGAGGTATTGGAATGTTAATTATCTTGATTTAGCCATTCAAAATATATGTGTGTGTGTGTGTGTGTGTGTGTGTGTGTATCAACACTTTGCATACCAAACACATATACAATTTTTATCTGTCAACATACATTTATTGATTAATTAAAAAGTAATTTATTGAGGGATTGTTTCTCAGATTAGATTAGTTTTATTACCTTTGCTTTATGTTTTCCTAATGCTGTGAATGTCCTCAATTATGAATCTCCCATTTTATTATAATTACAAATGTCTCTTTCTTGATGGACCGTAACTGTGTGGCAGGGTTGTGATTTTCTTCATAAATTTTCATATCCATTTCTCCTGCTGTAAACATGGTGGATACTCAATAAACCTGTTTGATGAATGAAATATGGGAAATATGTTGAATGAATGAGATATAGAAAAATCACTCATAACAATGAAATAATATTTTGAAACTAAAATTTTATAATCTTTTCTTTTCCCATTTAAAATTATACATCAAATATTTTCTT